AAAGTTTTTTTTTTTTCAGGTAAGGGGTAGGTTTATTCAGTAGACCTGCTGGGACCAGGCAAGGTTGGCACTCCACGTGGCTGGGAAAGAGAGGAAAGAGAGATGAAAGAGCTTGAGCAGAGAGAGAGCAGAGAGAGCTAGAAAAGAAGAGCAAGAGCAGAAAAGAAGAGCAAGAGCAAGAGAGCAGGAAAGAGCTAGAGCAGAGAGAGAGCAGAGAGAGCTAGAAAAGAAGAGCAAGAGCAAGAGCAGAAAAGAAGAGCAAGAGCAAGAGAGCAGAAAAGAAGAGCAAGCTCTAGCAGAAAAGTTTGAATCAGTACTTGAACAGAAAAAGCTGAATGTAGTAACTTATGCCTTTCATCCCAGCTATAGATGGAAGACTAAAAAAAAAAAAGGCTCACTCTCCAGGCACATACTTGGACAAGAAGCAAAATTCTCAAAAACTAGTGAGTGCATAAACAATCTGAAGGCATGGCTCAGTGGTAGAGCACCTGTTTAACAAGCATTATGTGGTTCTGAGCTCAAACTCCAGCACTGGGAAAGGAAGGATGGAAGGAAGGAAGGAAGGAAGGAAGGAAGGAAGGAAGGAAGGAAGGAAGGAAGGAAGGAAGGAAGGAGGGGGAGGGAGGAAGGAAGGGAGGGAGGGAGGGAGGGAAAATAACTCAACCCAACAGAGAAATACAAAAGAAAAAGAAAAGCCAACAAATAAACATGTAAACATGTTTAACTTTGTATACCATCAAGGGAATTACAAACTAAAACAATACTGAAATCTTCAATTGAAGAAATTTTAACTCTTCAACAAATGGTACTGGTAAAATTGGATATTCACTTACAGAAAACTGAACTAGATCCCCACATATCACCTTGTACCAGCATCAATTCAAAATGGTTCAAAGACTTCCATGTAAGACCAGCAAAACTTTTAATTTGTGTAAGAGCAAATGTTAGAGAGAATGTGGAGCCACAGGGTCGTGACTGCTCAGATTACAAATGACAAAACCACTCTTGCAACTTTCAGATATGTGCCTAGGGAGTTAGGTACAAGGGTGATTGTTGTAGAATTGTTTGTAACCAAATTAAATTGAAAATGGAAGAACTAAAGAAGAGTGAATAAATTCAGTAAACACTTTTACCACAGCATACTGCACTGAAGACAAAAATAACTGAGTTCATGTTGACAACATCTGTAATCCTAGATACTCAGGAAGCTGAGATCTAAGGTTTGAAAGTAGCCTGGGCAGAAAAGCCCATGAGATGTTATCTCCAAATAATGAAGAAAAATACTGAACTGGGGGTGTCTTAAGTGGTAGAGCACCAGCCATGAAAAAGTTGAGAGCAATAAAGTTCTGAATTCAAGTCCTGGTACCAGCACAATAACTAAATGAATAAATAGAAAAACATTAAATCACTGAAAGTTATGGTTGATGTGTACACATTAAATGTTAAATGTACAAAAGACAAAATGTTGCTTGTGGATGCATACAAAAACAGATATAAGCATAAAAGCATTAAAAAAAAAAAGAAACCAGGGCTGGGAAGTTGGCTCAGTGGTAGAGCGCTTGCCTTGCATGCCTGAGGCCCTGGGTTCGACTCCTCAGCACCACATAAGCAAAAAGAAAAAAGCCGGAAGTGGCACTGTTGCTCAAGTGGTAGAGCGCTAGCCTTGAACTGAAGAGCTGAGGGACAGCGCCCAGGCCCAAAGTTCAGGCCCCACGACCGGACCCAAAAAAAAAAGAAAAAGAAAAAAAGAAGCCATTAAGACTTGACATTAAGACTTGACTTGATGGGTATTGATAAAATGAACCTTTGAGATTTGCTGACAATACTGTCAGACATAATGTTGAGAACTGAACTTGTCAGAGGGAATAATTTTCTAGAATCTAACACTGCCTTTCAAGGTTTGAGAAATACTGGATGTTTTAGTGGACTTACACCACCCTGATTGATGCACATGTGCAACCACTGGGTTTGGTAGCAGCCCGAGCCTTTCTTCTGCAGAATGCTGGTCCAGTCTTGCTAAGCTTGTGTCTTCTGATTTGTAAATCTGTTCTGCACCCAATAAAATGATCTTTGTACCAAGCACTGGCTCATTTCTATAATTCTGCCTATTCAAGGAGACTGAAATGTGGAGGATCAAGGTTGGAGGCTAGCTTGCAAAAGGAAAGCACAACAAACTTATTTACTTGTAGTTACTGTGACATCGAAGACTCAAGACCCAGGGCAAACTACCCATTGTTATATGTTGGTGAAGCAGGGAAAGCCAAGTGGAATTGGGATTGGACAAAAAGGTCCGAGATCACAGAACCTTGTGGAACAGAGCCTGGCCAGGCTGGCAGCTCAGGACCCTCCAGGCCTTCTGGGCAGCACCCCTTTAAACTAGAATCTACTTGTAAAGTGGCTCCAAGGATTTCTTTAATTAAATTGATGGTGATGATGATGATGGAGTTGTACAATTCCAGAATTCACGTTGTGAATACATTGCTTCTTGGGCAATGTCACCCCTTTCTCGATTTTTCCCTATTTTATCCCTCCCATAGTTCATTTTTCACATAGTGCATATTGAATACAATGACTACATTTGTTCACCCTTCTTCCCTCCATTCCTGGGACCCACTTCCCACCTTCACCCCCCCCAAAAAAAAACCCATGTTTCCATTTCCTGGAATTCATTCTGATAAACAGTTCAGAGGAGTTATTTCTTTGGATTCCTCCTCTATGTTTACCTTCATTTCTTCAATTTGTATATAAATACATAGAGCCCTGTATATGTTATCATGTCTACTTGTTTTCTAAATCAGGCTTCCACATATGAGAGAAAATATGTACCATTTGTCTCTCTGAGACTGGTTTACATAACATTATTTGTTCTAGGTCCATCCATTTCCCTGAAAATGACATAATATTACTTTTTTCTAATAAATGAATAAAATTCCATTGTGTATATGTATCACATTTTCTTGATCCAGTCATCCTTTGTAGGGCATCTGGGCTATTTTCATAACAGTTATTATGAATAGTGCATCAATGAACATGGATGTGCAAGTGTCCTTCCTATATCCTAATTTGTGATATTCTGGGTAGAAACTCAGGAGTGTCATGGCTGGATCATAGGTAGCTCTATTTTTAATTTTTTTGAGGAATCTCCAAACCATCTTCTAGAGCGGTTATACCAGTTTATATTCTCATCAGCCATGCAATAGTGTTCCTTTTTTCCCACATCCCCATCAGCATTTGTTATTGTTCAAATTTTCTTTTTTTTTCTTTTTTCTTTTTGTTGGTTGTGGGGCCTGAACTCTGGGCTTTGGTCCTGACCCTCAGCTCTTCAGCTCAAAGCTAGCACTCTACCACTTGAGCTACAGCACTACTTCTGGCTTTTTCTGCTTATGTGGTGCCGAGGAATCAAACCCAGGGACTCATGCATGCAAGGCAAGCACTATAGCACTGAATCACCTTCCCAGCCCCTGTTCAAATTTTCAGTCTTACTAGAATGAGATGGAATCCTGATGTTGTTTTGATTTGCATTTCTGTTATGGACAGAGATGTTGAACATTTCCTCATGTGTTTGTTGGCCATTCTTCTTCTGAGACATCTCTTTAGCTCCTTTGCCCATTTAGTGATTGGTTTGTTCATTGGAGGTGGGGGATGGTTCTTGAGCTCCTTGTATATTTTGGATAAAAGGCCCTTGTCAGATGCATTGCTGGTTAATATCTTCTTCTCCAGTGTGTTGGCTGTCTTTCTAGTTTAGAAACTATTTTCTTTGCTGTGCAGAAATTTTATTTTTATGTAATCCCATTTGTCAAGTCTCTCTCCTGTTTACTATGACCCTGGGACTGTCTTCAAAAAGTTCCTGCCATTCCAATAAGTTCTAATATTTCTCCTACTCTATCTTGTAGGAGTTTCAAAGTTTCAGGCCTGATGTTGAGGTCTTGGATCCATTTTGAATTGATATTGATGCAAGGTGACAAACAGGGATCCACTTTTAGTTTCTACATGTGGTGTCCAGTTTTCCCAACATCAATTATTGAAGAGGTTGTCATTTTTCCCAACATATATATGTACACACACACACACACACACACACACACACACACACACACACATATGCTTGACAAATATCAGATGACTATAAGTATATGGGTTTATTTCTGGGCCTTCTAGTCTATTCCATTGGTCTTCAGGCCTACTTTTATGTCAGTACCAAGCTGTTCGTTAATATCTCTCTGTAGTAAAGTTTAAAGTCTGGAATTGTGCCTTTGCTTGGTGTCTACTCTTTTTTTTGGGGGGGGAGGGAGGAAGGAGGGTCTGGTCATGGGGCCTGAACTCTGGGCCTGAGCGCTGTCCCTCAGCTCTTTAGCTCAAGGCTAGCACTCTACCACTTGAGCCACAGTGCCACTTCTGGCTTTTTTTTTTCTGCTTATGTGGTACTGAGGAATTGAACCCAGGGCCTCAATCATGCAAGGCAAGCACTCTACCACTGAGCCACCTTCCCAGCCCAGGTGTCTATGCTTGAGCTGTATTTCCCAACTACAGCCCTGTATTTCTGATTAAACACACAGAACTCTGATATTGCCCAGTCTCTAATTTGCCATCTTCTTTCTCCTCTGATGCTGAGACCTTTTAAAGTAGTTATAGACAATGTCAAAATCTGAATGACATAAGCAATAATTTGACTCCTTGGTGGTTTTTTGTTGTTGTTGTGTTTTTGTTGTTGTTTTTGTCAGTCCTGGGGCTGGAACTCAGTACCTGGGCATTGTCCCTGAGCTTCTTTTGCTCAAGGCTAGCACTCTACCACTTGAGCCACAGCTCCACTTCCAGCTTTTTCTGTTTGTGTATACTGCGGAATCGAACCCAGAGCTTTAAGCTTGTTAGGCAAGCACTCTACCACTAAGCCATATTTCCAGCCCCCATGACTCCTTTTTTCACATTTTCACTAGATCCTTGGTGTTTCGGGCTGATGTCCTATCATTGTTTCACCACATGAAAAATGTCTTCTCACGCAGGAAAAACATCGTGGACCCAGAAGATCCCCGGTGTGCCCGCTTAACACTCACAGGACAGATGACCACTGTGTCTCCAGCAGAAGTAGAATTTGCCAAGCACGCCATGTTTTCAAGGTGTGAAGACGTTTTCAAATTGAGATGCCAAAAAGTATGCAATAAGAAGAACGAGTCCAGGTCAACTCTGTGCCGTTTGGTGCCTGTGAAGTAATGGCCGCAATGGGCCTGAGCTGCCCCGTGGTAGCAATGTGGTAAATGACGTGCTGGGGGCTTCAGGTGCTATGCAGGCAGGTGGCTTCAGTGAGCTGACACCACCCTTGGGGAAGCATCCCCACCTTGAGATGCTGCAGGTGTAAATGCCTTTGGCACAGTTCCTGTGTATTCCAAGCTTAGCTAAGCCCTGCCTTGCACTGAAAATAACTGAACCTTCCTAGTCCAGTCAGTGTCACAAACATTCTCAAATGTCCTCCCTAAGGATTTATTATTGTATTTGTCACAGATATCATATTTGTGACAAATACTTATCCATTTTGGACTTGGTGTTTGAATACTGCTTATGCCGATTTCAGATATTAAAGCAATTTTGAAAATCTGGTATCAGGTACTGAACTTCGGGCTTCTCAATTGCTTGGCTGTTTTGCTCATGTCTCGTACTCTACCACTTGAGCCATACCTCTGGTCTACTTTTTGCCAGTTCATTGGAGATGGAATCTCAACAGGCTATTCTGCCTGGGCTGGCTTTAAACTGTGATCTTCTGGATTTCATTTTCTTAAGTAGCTAAGTACAGGTGTGAGCCACCAGCACCCAGCAGGCCATTTTAATCTTGATAAGGTTTTAAAAGATGGGTGCTGGTGGCTCACGCCTCTGATCCTTCCTACCCAGACAGCTGAGCTCTGAAGATCACAGTTTGAAGCCAGTCCAGGCAGGAAAAAAAAAACAACTCTGAGATTCTTACCAGGTGTAGAAGTGTGGCTCAAGTGAGACAAAGAAAAAGCTGAAGGAGAACAACCAGTTCCTGAGTCTAAGCCCCAGTTCTCACACATACAAAACAACAATCTATGTCATGGTCATCTGTAGAGGAGGACAAATCTGTCAGTAGCAGAAGGTAGATGTGACCCTGTCCACCCTAGCTGGCTCTCGGGCTGGATCAACAGTGGAATCTTGCTGCAGGAGTGGAGTCTGTCCCTAAACAGAGGTGTCCCATGTGCTCACTATTTTGGTACCCTTTCCTATAGCGATCATATGTCCTTAACTGATGTCTCCAACATCCAGCACTCCACTGTGCCCTTGCTGGGTGCAAGTGTTTTATGTGCTCTTATTGGTTGACTCCCCACACTGGCCCATGACCAAAGCAACATCAGCATGGCCAGTTGACAGGTGGGCCTGTGAACATCAACAAGCCCAGAAGGCCTCATGGCTCCTCAATCACTGAACTGGTATTCAAACCAAGGGAGCATAGTCCACTCAGTGTAGGGACTCCAGCTTCCTGCCTCTTTTAAGGCTGTCCCAGGACCTGACTCACAGGTTTGTGCCTCTGGCTGGGTGGAGCAGCTGTGAGCGCAAATCAAGCCAGGAGTCTAGAGCTATCATGCCCAGACAGACATGTGCCCTTGAGAAGAGCAGCTTCACTGTGGACTTCCTTTGTCCCTGCAGGCACCCAGGCATGCGCAAGTGGCCTCGCCAGTATGAATGGTTCTTCATGAAGATGAGGATAGAACATGTCTGGCTTCAGAAATGGTATGGAGGTGTATCCGACATTTCAAGGGAGGAATATTTCAAAGCAACGCCTAGAAAGGCCTGATAGTGTAAGAAGAAAGTCCTCGGTGTTGGCATTAAGGAGAAGTTATTTTTAAGGGCTGCAGCCAGAGACAGCTCTCCAATGCTGTCTATTTCCTGAAGGGCTCCTAGCTGCCCTGCCATCCTCCAGCAGAATGAGCGATGCGGACAGGGTCCCTTGTGTTGGAGCACTTCACATCAACGATCTTTGTTTATGTTGCATTCTTTTCACCTATTTGGAAGTCATTGTTGGTTGTCAAAATGGCCCTGTGAGACCACTGATTGCTCTTCCATTCTTTTAAGAAAAAAAAAAAGGCTGTATGTACAATGTGATTGCTTTGTATTGTGAGAATATTTCTGTTGCCTGCTGTGCCAAAAGCAATATCCTGGATCTTAAGCTCACAGTGGCCAAAAAGGAGCTGAATGCGCATGACACAACACGCATTGTACTCAGGATGCAGATAGGGTACTGGAGGTGCCACCAGATTGCAAATGCATTGTTAAATCGCAATTGCTAGAATGGAACAACTGTCTCCGGCTGGAACATGACAGCGTTAGAACCAGGCAGAGTTTTGTATGCAAGCTGAGTCTATGTGAGTAGACTATTGGTGAAATGTTCAAGAGAATGGGGCTGGGCAGCATTATTTTTACATATAAAGTCTCATATCAAGAGGCTGAGATCAGAGGATCATAGTTTGAAGCCAACCTGGGCAGGAAAGTTTGTGAGACTCTTATCTCCAATTAACCAGAAAAAAAAAATCTGGAAGTGGAGCTGTAGCTCAAGGGGTAGCTATCCAGTCTTGAGTGAAAAAGCTAAGGGACAGTGATCAGGCCCTGAGGTCAAGCCCTAGTCTGCCACAAAAAAGTGAGAGAATGGGCTATCTTTGGCACCAAGCTTCCCAAATCCCAGATGCTCCCATTTTCTGATAGCCCTGTTCTTTCATGCATTACTTATGACAGCCAAAATAAGAAGCATCCCCTTCCATCATTTGTAGAGAAGAGTGGAAAGCAAAGGCAAGATGCAGGACATGGAAGGGAAGCATGAGCCACTGAGGGCCTCTTCCCTGCCCAGCCCTGGGCTAGGCCCTTAATGATATAATCAGTTAAGACACATGCATTATCATCCCTTACATGCAATGAAACTGAGGCTTAGAAAGAGCAAGCCACCACCTCACTGTCAGACTCTTGACCTTGGAGCAGCATCCCCAAGCTCTCAAGTTTTCAGAACAAGAATTTCTGAAATGTGCAGGTGTCATTGAACCAGGCACTGCAGTGATGGGATGGCAAACATGGACTTGTCACTGCTTAAAGTCAACTCTAAAACTTGGTTCTTAACTACAGAGTTCAAAATTTTCTACAAGTGATACACAGGAATTCCTAGTGTTTGCAAGATATTAGATCATACTGGTACACACCTGTAAGACCTAAATGGACCTAAGTGTATGACTAAGCCCTCTTCTCATTTCAGTCTATAAAGGATATAGTAGTATCTAAGTTTGCTATCTTCCCATAGGAATTTAAAGCCTGCTGGGTTAGATATATTATATTACACAAAAACACATCACCATTTAGAGAAAATACACATTCTTCAAATAGATATAGATGGTTATATTAATAGTTATATTTTTAATTTTAAAAAATAAGACAGAGTTTGAGGTGTCAGCATACATTTTAAGTGCCTATTAATAAAAATAGTAGGATGTGCAATCTTCTTTCATTTGTTCTTAGCCAGCTCACAGAAGAGCTCCAGACAGTGGCAATTTCTAAATGTAAGATAAGTTGGCCTGGGAATGTGGCTTAGTGATAGAATACTTGCCTAGCATGCATGAAGACCTGGGTTCAATTCCTCAATACCACATCAACAGAAAAATCTGGAAGTGGTGCTGTGGCTCTAGTGGTAGAGTACTAGCCTTGACCAAAAGCTCAGGGACAGCACCCAGGCCCAGAGTTCAAGCCCCAGGATTTGCACACACAAAAAGAATATGTAAGGTAGCTTCTGAAGATATTTCATGTTTTCTAATTGAAAACAATTGCTATGCCAACTTAGAAGAAAGAGGGGAAACTGGAAGAACAACCACATGTCAGAAGTAGCCCATAGGTCAACCTCAAACTTTATTCCTTTTCTTTTAAATAACTCCAAACAACATACAGTTATCCCTACCATGTTTCAGTGGAACAGTAATCCAGGTGTGGTTGAGCTGGATCCTCTGCTTCCTGAAATTTACATTTTATAAACTTTACTTTTGAAAACATCTCTGCCTCCTGCTCCTATCATATAGATAAAATGTCCCTATGCCAAGTTGACTTATTGCCAGGTTCCATTTAGCTCATTTCAGGTCCCCGGTGCTTCAAAGGGCTTGGAAGGCTGGATTTCATTTATTATTGATGAGTGCTGTCAACTGTTAGTCAAAATTGCAAGAAATGGAATCTGAGCACGTCAGACAGTAAGAATAGTGTTTACAACTCATGAGGTTGAGTATGATGTGCCTTACTCAGGCAGGAATGGTTCAGAAAAAGCTCTAGAAACTCATACTAATTAAAAGTTTTAAGACTGTACCAGAAGTTCTAGCCATTGTAATAAGGCAAGAAAAAGAAAAGTGCGTATGAATTGGAAAGAAATAAAAGTAACCTTGTTTACATAGGACATGATTGCCCACAAAGACATTCCAAATAATGTGCTTTTTGTTTCTTTGTCTTTCTAACTGTATTTTTCATCTTTTCTTTTTTTATACCGGGGATCAAACCTAGGACATTGCACTTGCTAGGCAAGCACTTTGCCACTGAGCTACATCCCAGCCCCCAAATAATGTGCTTTTTGAACATAAAAAGAGCCTGCAGTACTGAATGCAGCAAGGTCCTCAGGATGCAAGGTCAGCACAAAAATTTAATCATTACACTAACAAAGAACATGAGGAAGCCATGTTTATTGTGTTTTTAGTAAAAATCACAATACCACTTAGAATCATTACAAAGAAAATTACATAGTTTGGGACATAAATTTAACAAAATATATAGAGGCTTTATGTGCTGGAAAAAATATTCTGATGAAAGAAATTAAAGGCTTCAATAAATGAAAAACAGTACTGCATTCATGGATTTTCATTATGTTTAGTAAACATACACAAACTTATTCTAAGTTATATCCCAGCATAGGGGTGTGGCTCACTAGCACAGCATTTGTCTACCATACACAAAGCCTTAAGTTAGCACTGCAAAAGAAAAAATTTTATCTCAAGGTTTAAAAGGTTTAAAATAGCTAAAACAATCAAAAGAAAAATTAAATTGGGTAAATCATTTATTTTCACTTCTTGAGTTATTGGCAGAGGCACAGATATAAACCAATGGAACAGAACAGAATCTAGAAATAGATACATGCTCTGCTTTAGTGATTTCTTTTGAAGATACAACGTAATGCAACACAGAAAAGATAATGTTTTTAATAAATTTGCCAGAGCAAGTGGGTATCTATAGGGAAAGAAAATTACTCTTGGACTGAACTTCATACTTTACCCAAAAAAATTAACTCAGAAGAGGTCTTCTGTAAACATATAATGTAACTATAAAAACATAGAAAATCTTTAGGACCAAGGGCTAGCAATGTGTTCTTAGACTTGATGCCAAAATCACAGTCTGTGAGAAGAAAATGTGATAACTTATGCAAAGGACCAGGGTAAAATGGAGGATGAAAAGACAGGCTGATAGAGATAGAAAGTATCTGCAAGCCACACACCTGATAAAAGGCTACCATCTAGATACAGATAAAGAATTATCAGTGCTGAACAGGTATTGAAATTCCAACGGAAACCTAAGACACAAAAAGCCATCTCATTTCAGAAAATGTGTGAACAACAAGTACAGACACAAAGAACTATCCAACATAATTGTTTATTGGGGAACTTACCTCCCAAAACTGCTAAAGTAAAACAGTGGTGACAACATCAAAGATTGATAAGGATGAAGAGGGCCTGGGTGGGTCATATATTGCGGCTGGAAATATAAAACAGAATAGCCACGTTGGAAAAGCACTCAATAGATTTCCCCAAAATCAAAACATACAACTCCCATACTAAGCAACAATTACATACCTGGGCATTGCTCTCAGAGAAATGAAAAGTTACATTTTCAAAAAAAATTGTACAGGAATTATATATGATACTCAAAATATGTCAGGAACACAGTCACCTTCAATCTGATGGTTAGCAAAACAAATTGTAGTAAATCCACATCTTCGAATACTATTCCCAAGAAAACAAAGAATGAATGACTAAAATAGGCACCAAGTAGAATGCCACTCAAGAGAAGTCAGATGAACAAGAAAACTTGACTCTAAAAGTTTACCCACTATGTGACTCCATTTCTATCACATTTTGAAATATGAAATTACAAAAATGAAAGATAGAATAGGGGTTACCAGAAAGGCAGGTAGAGAATAAGAGAGGTAGCTATGACTACGAAAGGTTAACACAAAAGTCCCTGTTGGTGATGCTTGGTAAGAAATGTACGCATTATCCCGCCCATGTAATTGTAACCCCTCTGTACAGTATCTTCACAAATAAAATAAAATAAAATAAAAAGTCCCTGTTGGTGTGGAAATATTCTGAATGAATATGAGAAACTTAGTCATTAAATTATACTAAGTTTTAGTAAGATGTTACTGGATATAAGGTATGCAGGATTTACTTATATGATTTGTTAAAACTGCATGTGAATCTATAATTACATACAACTATTCAGAATCTACAATTCTCTCTGAAGGGCAAGTTTAATATGAACAATCCTTGTCTTCATTAAAATAAGGCATTTATGCTATCTTTCTTGATGACTCCTAGCAAAAGAAGAAATTGTGCCTAAACCCAGCAGAAAAAGACAACATTCTTTTTGAACTATTAATACATGCATTTGCAAATGAAATGTAATACTTCTTTACAGAGTTTCTAAATATATTCTGTAATACTGAATACAAATTCGAAGAGTTGATCCAGGGCTGAGGGTATAGTTTCATGGAAGTCATTTGACCAGCATGCA